CTTCAACACTTTTTATTTTTATCAATGACTTGACTTGACTTGACTTGACTTGACTTGACTCTCTTTCAGAAATGACTTGACTTGACTTGTGTGAAAAAATAGCTGACTTGCCCATCTCTGAAATCAACTGCTAAGGTAAAGATTCCACTTGATAATATTTGTTTTGTTGCTCAGAGAGCGAAGTTTTTTCGGAAAATGGATAAATTACGAGATGCTAACGCGCTTGTTTTTTTTCCACGATAAAAGTTGGATTAATTCTGGCACTGAAAAAACGTATATATGCGTGGACAATGATGGGAAGGGAAGGATAAAGAAGAACGAATGGAAAGGTAACTCTTTCAATCTTATATTAGAACTAAAAACCAAATGGGATGTCTTAAGGAGTAGAATCGCAATATCAGCAATGATGCATACCGATGGAATTCATCTACCAACTGTCGATATATTTACTTGCTTCAAAGACCATTCAGTAAATTTTGAGTATTTTCTTAAGTGGATTGAAACAGCTGCATTTCGTCTTCGCGCTGACAACAGTATGATGTACTTTTTTGCTACCTTTGTTTGCGTAATATTTCAATTTCTTACCAAATAGGTCTGCAAAGACGCATTTGTATTGCGATCGACAATGCACCATGGCATTGTGAGCTGGTAGATTCATGTAAATCAGGAAAAGATCCTGGAAAAAAGATAAGATAAAGCTGTGGTTAAATAATCCTACTATTCATTTTGGTCCATTATGTTCGAAAGCAGAGCTGTTGTAAATCGCATCAGTCAACCGTCCTATGAAACGATATAAAGTAACGATTATACAGCTATTTTTTTTAAATTTTATTATTATTTAAAATAGGTAAACGAGATAGCTATGGAATTCAATGTGGAAACTGTTTGTTTACCTGCCAGACACTGCTGTTTGAATCCGATTGAGCTATGTTGAGCGAATTTAAAAGAGTATATGCGTAAGGGTGACACTCATTTCCAACTTACCGATGTCCGTGAACTTGCTGCACAGTTTATTGCCAGTTATGATGGCGATGCAACTACCAAGGAGATCAAGCGCACTCGAGAAATTGAAAATAAATTCAAAATTGCTCATCGATATATGCAAGAAAATATCAAACCTATGCTTGATGATGAAGAATCAAGCAAAGAATCAGATGTAGTATCAAGTGATAATGAATAGAACATTGATTTTTAACATTGAATTTTCTTTTCAAGTTAATTAAAGCTCTTTGTATCATCTACTTCTATAATCGGTTGAAAAAGAACAATAATTCCCGGTACAAGAAAACTATTAGAACCTAGCGTATATGTATTCCAGCTTTAAATAAACAATAGAATACATATATATCACAGAGTTACGCAATCCAGTATCCAGGACGAAAACGTATAATGGAAATAATAAGAATAAGGCGAAAGAGATCCTATAACTCCAATGAAATTTGCGAAAGCGTTCTTGGAAACATAAGCTGAATACCTATTCATAGCTCTTTTAATATCCACGCTTACTTGATCATATGAATTTTGAACACATCCTACGTATCCAAGCGATAAAAATTTACTTTCAAATAAAAATATTATCCATTGAAACATCGTACAAGAACTTACTTTGGTTTGATCAGTACTAGGAAAGGAAAATAATTATAATCATCTGGGCTATATATAGGAGTATAGATCTGAGGTCCCTCTATCTAACGCATATGTCAATATCAAAAATTCAATGGAACTACATAGCATTATTATGCATTTTTCAGAATGATTCCTTAGACAGGGTTAGTTATACAATGATTTCACCTTGCATAATATTATATCGAAACACGTCCTAGCTTAGCCTCCTTCGATCGGTGAAAACCGCAGGTCGTTAGCTGTTGTCGTTCTCGAGATATTTGTCTTACATCCACCCCTATTAAATTCTGGCACCGACAATAGACATCACTTTTTCTTATATTGATGATAGACGCGTTAGAAATAATGTGACAGGACAGATTGATACTGTCATTGGCGGTACCTCTCCATGGTTTGAACATTTTTCGAGAACAGCCACAGCAAATTACAATGAATTAGGTAACTCATTTCCTGAATTGCTGCGTCTTGCAGAGTTAGCTAAATTGACTGCGATTGCTTTGGTATTTCAACATCATTAACGTAAATTACACAAAATAATCCAGCCTCCGACGATTGAGGTGAGAGATTCTTAAAATTTTGGTGGCCCTTTTTCAGCTTTTATCTTGCAGACGGTTGGAAATATTTTAAGTTCCAGCAACTTGAGAGGTCAAGTTTCCGGTGGAACATGGCCATTGGTAACTGATGCGCGCGTTGAGCGGATATTAGATAAGTCACTTATAGAACAAGGGATCAGTCTCTCGCGAAAATACTTGGTGCGAAATCTAGCTGATGCTCGAGCTGACATTCGTCAGCAACTAACTACAGCACAAAATAATCAAATCACAGAGATTGCCAGATCTTTATCAATAGCTTTCAATATATCCGTTGAAGCAATCAGTGGAGCAGCAATCAGTTCTTATCTTACTAATAGCCACTCAAATGCAGAAAAGCCACTTCTCAATGAAATCATTTCAGGTAATGCTCCATTTATGTGCAGCTAGTAAATGAAGCTGATATAAAAATTAAAGGTCTTGCATCATAAATGCACTCATATATTCTCACTTCAACTTTTATCAAACTTAAGTGTTTCTATGAGATTCAGAAACTACATCCAAGTATTCTAATAAACAGACAGTATTTGTTCTCTTATGAATGTGAAAATTTTAGTGCATTCTATATTTCTGAAACTACATGAGATATTATGATTTACAGGTATCTCCCAGCGTATCAAAAATTCTCAGCAAAGTGCAATACGTCTCTATGAAACTATGTCTCAGTCAGGATATAGTGTTGATAATACATCAAATGTGCTACCTGAATTTGCACAAATATCTTCCGGAAAAGGTCCTGTCAACGTCTTCGAATTAATGGGATCATCATCTTGTTACTATGTACCAACACAAATCTCCTTCACAGATCATGGTGATGGATTTTTTTTACAGCAAATGGGTGGTATCAAAGTTCGACCATATTTAGAATATGAACAAGTTCCGATAGTCAATTTAAATCCTTCAAACGGTGACACAAGTAATTTAATTATAGTCAATACAACTTTGAGATATCCTTATCTTTCTTTGCATCTCATCGTATAAGTTCATGTGCTTTCTGTCAACGAAATATATATATTTAAAAACGTACTAAAAATAACCACCATTTAGTATATCATATTGAAGTAAGATTCCTATGATTTCCCTTCAAAATTTCTCAATTTAATTGTTTCTATGTATACGCAAATTCTTTAGTTCTAATATGTGTCAGTATTGAACATGTCTAGTCCTATTGTGCATCCGTTTTTCTCTGATAATTTTCTGACTAAATACGAATTCTAAAAAAATAAAATTGGTATAGAAATTGTTTTATGCTTACATTGACTTTTAAAGGTTTACGTGGCTTTAAGCAACGTATGAACCAAGTACTTCCTGCACAAAATGGTATATCGCCACATATTACTGGTGAGTATGGTGAAAAAAGAACGAAAGGTGCACATGGAGGAGTTGACTTTAATTACAAAGTTCCTGGACAACGAGGTATTAATTTACAACATCCAACAGTTAATTCACCGGTGGATGGAAAAGTTATATTTGTTGGTGGAGGCTATGGTACGGTTAAAATTCGCACATCCGATGGTTACAGTCATGAAATATTACATTTACATACTACCAATGTGCGTGTCGGTGATGTAGTAGAAACGGGGCAAGCGATTGGTACCATGGGTGGTAGAGGACCAAAGAAAGAGAAACAGTATGCACAACATGTACATTATCAGGTGAAAGATCCCAAAGGTCGAACAGTAGGTCCAAAGGAATATTTTGAAAAAGAAGAGAAGAAACAAACAGGCTCGACAAAACCATAAACATTTTGCACCTTTTATTCAATATGATAAATTATCATCGCATTAGTCTTTTTAATTCATATGTTGCACAATCTGATTTGAATGCTATCAACTTTGCAATCAATATCAGTCACAGCTAAAATAATTAAATGCACAAAGTTCGATATTTTTATGTTTTGATAAAACAAATCGAACAAGCCTACTACTTTATGTAATAAATCACTGCAGTCAGGATTTCAAGCAATGAAACAGAAGACGTCTTGCAGATCTGATCAAGTCAATGGAATAGAATTTACATTTTATTTCTCACTAATACATTGACTAAGAAAGAGAATTCTTCATCAAAATTCACAATTGAAAATCAAAGAGATTAACTATTCTATGGCTGCTACTAACAACCTCTATTTATAAAATATTTATCAATACAAACTATCTCTTGAGGGTGTGGGTGGGTGTGGGTGTGGGTGTGGGGTGTGGGTGTGGGTGTGGGTGTGGGTGTGGGTGTGGGTGGGGGTGTGGGTGTGGGTGTGGGTGTGGGTGTGGGTGTGGGTGTGGGTGTGGGTGTGGGTGGGGGTGTG